TGGAACATTACGGCGTTTTCCATGTAGATGGGGGGTCAACCAATCAGTGACTGCGTACTAAATTTATATTGGAATATCAGTCAACACTACGATATACTGGGTGCTACCATTTAACGTAGTGGATTTATATAAGGATTCAGTGATGTGGCACATGACAAAAATGTATTTCCCCAGTATGTCATGTCTCTTTACATAGTACAGCCGAGTACATTTACACACTGTGCTCTTTGCTGATGTTCCTATTACACGTACAATGTACATAAGAGGTGATACCGATACACACTGTTCTCCTAAAAGCATGATCGTTACAATAATATAAATATTTTTCGTTTTATTATTTAAGGTACACAGTGTAATATTTGTCATAAATGCCTCAAAATAAGTATTCTTTTAAAGTAATAAAAAATGTTTGTGATGTGATGTAATAGTGCTAACTACGCCTGATCATTTTTATGACATTATAACAAAGTATATTATGTTTGATTATTTCATAGTCAAGATGGTTCAATTCATAAGTTTTGGCTTCTAGTTGTTTGTTTGTTTGTTTTCATATATTTTCTCGGCATTGTTAATCATATGCCAACACTTAGGTACTTTTTCAAAACAGGATGCTGACCAAAGATCGCAATTGCACGTAAAGTTCTGTGAGTTCAGTGTTTCAACCGGCTCAAGCTAATCTCAATACGTTCCTGAGTTCCAAGTTCAATCTGCTGTGCCTGTGTACCATGCATTGTATGTTCAATCTGCTGTGCCTGTGTACCATGCATTGTATGTTCAATCTGCTGTGCCTGTGTACCATGCATTGTATGTTCAATCTGCTGTGCCTGTGTACCATGCATTGTATGTTCAATCTGCTGTGCCTGTGTACCATGCATTGTATGTTCAATCTGCTGTGCCTGTGTACCATGCATTGTATGTTCAATCTGCTGTGCCTGTGTACCATGCATTGTATGTTCAATCTGCTGTGCCTGTGTACCATGCATTGTATGTTCAATCTGCTGTGCCTGTGTACCATGCATTGTATGTTCAATCTGCTGTGCCTGTGTACCATGCATTGTATGTTCAATCTGCTGTGCCTGTGTACCATGCATTGTATGTTCAATCTGCTGTGCCTGTGTACCATGCATTGTATGTTCAATCTGCTGTGCCTGTGTACCATGCATTGTATGTTCTATAGAAGTTTGTCCTTGCCAAGAAGCTCTTGAGTGTGGCAGGTCCAGCATCGCAAGCGCAATACCGATGTTTTGAGAGATGTTTATCGTCAACTTATTCTGGATGATATAAAATCTATTACATGGTATTGTAGTGATCGTGCATCGCCCAGTGTTGAATTGTAGGAGACTGATGCAGCTGTTGTAATTGACAAACCGTTTGATGCAGATATGGGTGTCCATCGCCCAGTGTTGAATTGTAGGAGACTGATGCAGCTGTTGTAATTGACAAACCGTTTGATGCAGATATTGGTGTCCAGCCATTGCCATCAGACTGACAACTCTTTTACGGCACTTTCGGAAGAAGATCTGCCAAAGACCCATTCCTCGTTTTGAACAAGAAAATGACGTTACATATTATCGAAGAAGTGTCCATTTGAGGAAACTTCATGTTAGTGGATAACTAAGGTTATTTCTATCAAGCTAAGACCATCAAAAACTCAAGGTAAACAATGTTACAATGCTAGGACAATCATAGATAAAAAGTGCCTTGCATCTGTTGTGCAGACTGGAACCAGTTTTGATCGTGGGGTGCATAACCACAATCATCCAGACCAGTCAGGTATTGCCACAAAATTAAAAAGCATGGTTAAAGTTAAGAAGACTACCAAGGGCACTATACAACAGGCAATGAAGACATATTAGACAAACCATCATACAACCTCCCCGTGGAAGCTAATTTAATTCTCACTACTAACAGAATGAGACCTAAAGAACCAAGCGGAATAGATTTCAATCTTGAAACAGATTTTCTGCCTCCAGATTTTGTTAAAAAAGACCTCAGAATGTATGGTGCTGTTCACCTTATATTTTACACGCAAGACCAGTGACATCACCTAGGCACATTCAAAGACATGGTACATGGACACAACATCTAAGATTGTTAGCCAACCATTCTTTCATTCATGAAAGGATTGTGGAAATATCCAACAGTTGCCACTGGTGTATGTTCTGATGTCGAAGAGAACAACATGACTACAAGGAAGTTTTGAAGACTATCACATTAGTTTTGCAAGAACTAAGCATGCAGAAATTTGTGATGGATTTTGAGGCAGGTATGTGGGCTGCAGAGTGAAGCATTTTCCCTGGCACCTGCATCAAGGGCTACTGCTTTCACTGGACACAAGGTGTGTCCAGGACAGTTGGGTTGCAAGTTGCATACAGTGAGAACAGCCCAACTCATCACTTTATTCGCCAACTAATGACATTACATGTATCATTCTTAAGATGAAATAGATGACACATTTAAAGCACCAAAGAACCACGAATAACAATGTTGAGGGCTGGCATCTTCTTTCAAATTCAAGAGAAGGGAAAAACAAACTTCAGTTATACGTGATCATACCTCTACTGCACAGAGAGGCAATGTACACCAAAATACATAATTAAAGAAGACAAATTTCAAATTATGACACAAAATAAAAATCGTACAAATGCCTGATGCCTCAACCAAATATTCAAATGTTTGTGATTGTTATTTTTTTTTTTTACTTTATTGTATTTCTAACCACTCTTGGATACGGTTTCAATAAAGATTATTATTATTATTATTTATTACAAACATACCAAAGATCAATATACAGTCAAGTACAGGGCAATATATTTAGTGGTGGGATCAACATGTCCCTGGCGGCATTACAGCAACTCATCTACAACTCTGTTGCAATAAAATATACGGTCCTACCGAACACTAAATTAGTGTTTATAATGTACACAAGCAAAAGGGCTTATTTAGTGCCACCACATCCTCCAAAAATATATTTACCAAAACATACAATGTAAACAAATATGCTCAAACTAATAGTACATGCATGGAGGTATATTATATATATAAAACAACCAAACTGAAAACGTTTAGATCGACCAGGTCAGGTCGAGGCAGCGGGTCGTCTGAGATAGGTGGGTCGAAATGTCTAGGGGTAAGGGGTCGAGTTTAGCAATGAAAATCGGATCGTGGTTTTTTTTGGGTAGAGACCCATGTCCAACACCCATATAAACAAACACTACATCGCTGTATTTTAAAATCAGTTAGCGTCTGAATGGGAAAGCAATCCGTCCTTCATCCCGGACAGTGAAACAATAGTTAATACTGTTATTTTAAACTGAATAACGAACCTGATTAGAAGACTCTTCTAAGACAATATTTTCCGCCGCAACGTCTTTCATTTCCGTACCCTCCATCTCTGTTTTGTCTGCCATGTTGAAATTTCCAAAAATGACGTCATTCTCGTCAATGGAACAATCGATTTTGAATCGAAGGGGTGATATATTTATTCACAGTTTATAAGATTTTCTAAGCATGACAGAAGCTCGCATAGTAGTAATGTGCCATTTAAAAAAAAAAAACTAATATGAGTTAAATTGCACTCTTCTTAGTTTTCAAGACGACGAGACTTACAGTGATAGTTTGCATTTTCACACTGTTACCTATAACCCAATATGCGTTTGAGTCGTCCAGGGTCTGAAAACTACCGAAGAGGGCGTAGGGTAGGTTAAAATCAAAACAATTTGAAATGTTAGATGCATGTTCAGAAATTGTAGTACATAGATGACATAATGTTGCATTATGATCGACGACATACATGTATGCATGGAGCTTGTAGCTATCATCACCAATGTGGCATCTACGTCCGATCATCTCGGTGATTTCTAAAACTGATTTATAGGTGAGTATTTTATGATTTGTAATAACATCGTCTGAGACATCCATGTTGAAACACAGGGAACCCAGGAACTATAATCAACTGTAATACGCAGTCTCTATGAGCGGGAGGGGGGGGGGGGTATCGGCTGGTATCTAGTGTAAGAAATAGACTATATAAAATAGTCTATAGTAAATGTCAGAATGTGTTGGACATGACAGTGTATCCTTGCTGCATTGTGATGTAGGCCATAAAAATTAAAATTAAAATCATGTATTGCAAAATGAACATACCGGTAACACCAAAAAAGTTATGAATTTAATTCATCTATTTACTTAACTGTTTTGTTGGAAAAATGTGTTGTTAAATTAATATAATTGTAAAATGAGTTTAAACTTAGAATACAATCATTCTATACATGTACTTTAATTTTATTGTTAATTAATTTTGCGAGGCCCAAAGCACTGAATTGCATCAAATTTGTGTCATATGGGCTGAGGCACTGATTACTGAATTGCATCACATTTGTATTATAGGGAATCCAACACATGTTGCATTCAAACTCCAATTCCACTCACTATTACCATAGATACAGATAATTTGATGGATATCTCATATATGAAATTTGACCGTTAATTACGTTAGATATGCTTGGACCAGTTACATTAAAAGTTTAGACTTACACCAAAAATCTGATTCATATCAACATACTCTTTAGTGCTGGTAATTAATTTACTGTCATATATTTATATCACCTGTTAATTAATTAAGAGGCATTGTCTATATCACCGGTTTATTATTTTACAGCCTTTTTTATTATTAGAATAGAATAAAGCTCTCATACATGGACGTTTCTGAGATATAAAGTCATACCCAAAATAAAAGGCGCAGAGGAGACACTTTATCATTGGGAGGACTTTATATCCACAAGATTGCGTGTTGCATTTATAGTGAGTCCTTTAAACAATTCTTCATGAAATTGTAATTGAGCAGAGGAATTAAGGCCTTATTTTTAAATGGATTATGCTTTGAAACTTTTACAACATTTATTACACAATTCAAATTTTGTAGTCATTGTTGTCATAAAATTCTTGTACTGAAATTGTGGCAGAAGGACATCAAAACATCGAATAAAATCATGTTCCAGATAGCTCAATGGGAAGCATGTCTGTCACTTCACTCATTGTATGAGCTCTAGCTAAGTTTGAACCCAGCCTTTGTGGTTTCTTCATCTTTACAAGTGTTATTCAGAAATAAGAAAGTATAATTGACAATTCATTAATGTCAGTGAAACCTGTTTTCATATTAATTAAATATTTAATACTAAGCCATTTTATAACGGACAAACTGATCACATTTATAATCTTCACTATATAATATGGGAACAAAATTTGTCTTGTCGCTCTGTCTCAAGTTTCATAGATCGGTGATTGTCCCATACTTTTTAAACTGATAGAACACTGTCCTTCATAAGATGTATTTTATTTCTGATGAGGTAATAGTGTTTACATTACACTTACCATTTCTATCCTTATTACGTCAATTTCATGATGGCAGATATTGATATCAGCTGTATCTATCATTGTCATTGCAAGAACATTGTAATCCTAAAATATAACACTTTAATATTTGCATTTCTTCCATTGAACTCATGAAAGAAAAGAACTTGACCAATCACAAAGCTTTGAACAACTTGACCAATCACAAAGCTTTGAACAACTTGACCAATCACAAAGCTTTGAACAACTTGACCAATCACAAAGCTTTGAACAACTTGACCAATCACAAAGCTTTGAACAACTTGACCAATCACAGCACTTTGAAAGTTGGTAAATATCACCTGTATCTAATATTTTTTTGATTAATGATTAAAAGAAACCCGCAATGACTCATGGGTAATAGGTGTTTAGGGGTCTTGTTAAGAGACGACTGTCACATAAATAACTGTCTCAGCTGGCTACTATACTGTATTTTTAAGACTATCAATCTATAGAAAAGTTTTATATATTAGCCTTCCACTTTCTAAATTCAGTTGTCTACTCCAAAACTTTTGTGAAACCCCTTGGTGTTACCAGATGTCTTCTATAGCCATAACCAATGACACGGTCATGCGAGGTGTGCCCTCAGCGGTGTGCCCTCAGCGGTGTTCCAAATCCAATAGTGAGGCTGATGCCGTTCGACCAGCGAGGACGCTATTCACGCCTACTTGTCAGGCTACTATAGCCAATAAAATCATTTTTGAATTTAAAAAAAAAGATGTGGTTTTTCTGGTGTGCAATCTCTGTATTGAGGGATGATTACAAAATGTTCACACCATCTTGAATTTTACTGTATTTAAGCTTATTTGGTAAATACAGTGAATGTGCATTTATTTTTAGTACATGGAATATAGCTTGGATAGTGACGTTAATTATGGCTAGACTTTGGAAGAAATTGGTGATTTTCGCATTGGCAGCTTTTGTTGTAACAGTTTATATTGTGGTTAGTATCTGGAATTATTTAACAGTGCCCGTCAACGTCGGTATCCACAGGAATGACCATCAACCGCCATTTCCTGGAAACACTGCAGATAACATTTGGTGGTTTGTACAGGTATGTTTTACTCTAAACTAAGTTTGTTATTACCGGTATATAAAAAAAAAATTAAATATAATTTTTTTTAAATGTTAAGTATACATATTTAAACTCAGGAAACCTTACAGTGCACCCAGAGCATTGAGCATTACCCATACTATTTTACATGTACATTTAGCTCTCATGACATCCATTACTAAGGAAAGCCCCCCCCCCCCCACCTCACAGTGCACAAAAATACGATACATAACACCCATACAACTTCACCAGAGAAGCCCACACATCATACCCATACCACTTTACCAAAGAACACCACACCCATACCACTTCACCAGAGAAGCCTACATCCCACACTCATACCACTTTACCAGAGAACACATCCCACACCCATACCACTTTACCAGAGAACACATCCCACACCCATACCACTTCAACAGAGAACACATCCCACACCCATACCACTTAACCAGAGAACACCACACCCATACCACTTCAACAGAGAACACATCCCACACCCATACCACTTAACCAGAGAACACCACACCCATACCACTTAACCAGAGAACACCACACCCATACCACTTTACCAGAGAAGCCTACATACCACACCCATACCACATTTAGGAGGTATACCAACATGCTGATATATATTACATGAGTGTGTGTTTTTTTATCAAGATTTCTGACATACATCTGAATGAGATGGAGAGCAGTTCAAGATATCATCATCTACAACATTTCTGTATGAAATACATTGACATTATTCAACCCAAGTTAGTATTGGTTACTGGTAAGTCAAGTTTTTTGTACATGGTATTTTTAAAATGTGTATGAAGGACTTAGGTAGTGTAGACCTGTTTAATAATTTGCATGTTTTGTTTATTTATATTTATACTTACAGTAAATTAATAATATATTATATATTTTTGTTTTTCAAATCATGTAAAAATCACTACAAATTGTACTGTATGTAATTGTATTGTCAGTGTTAGAAATGTTAGTACAGAAAATAGTTGATGCAATTCGCTTATTCGTTCAACCAAATATATATTGATACAACTCCTATCATTAATTAAGTTTTCCCTAAAAATAAATAGCACTGAAACAATGTTTAATTTTAACTTCTGTCATTAAATTGCATGGTCTACAATGTGTTAAATCTGGTAGTATCAGTGTCGTAGGACATTCTGATTGTCACTTATGCTGACAGGAATGAAAAAAAAATTAAATTGTAGTACAATTTTACCAGTGACAATTATAACTTTTTCAACGCATATACTTTGGTTGTCTAATAAAGTGTTGTTTCATCTAGTGTTTTGATAATTGATATTTTGTGTTATTCTTTCAGGAGATTTGACTGATTCTATGTATAAAGGTCACGTCGGACAAAGAAAAATAGATTGGCAAAAGTATAGACAAATTCTAGAAGACACTGGAGTGGTGAACAAAACAGTTTGGTTGGATGTGAGAGGAAATCATGGTGAGTTGATGTCACTGAGTGGCAGTGTTAATAATATTTTATAACATGTACCTGACAGAGAAAACAATTCTAGTATTTAGCTTTCAGTAAAACCTATACAGATGTTTTTGAAAGTTTTATGAATGTAGTCTTCTTCATTTAATAGTATATAATATTTTGGATGTCACACTTGATGGTGATCAATCACACAGGAAAAAATTTCATGTTTTTGCTGTCATTTTGGGATGTTATATTACTTAGTTATGACTGAAGCAGAAAAAGATGTATAATTAGAAGTTATTCATGGCTAATACTGAAGATAACACATACTATTGATATTTTTTTAGCACCGCTGTCGATGCTGATTAATTTTCTCGACTTCTTGTTGAAAACCACAAGTTTGATTGCTTCAATATTATACATATATGTACTACAGGTGGTCCTCTTATAGAATGGTTCATTTCATGATGATATCTTCAATTTTCTAATTTCGATGAATATTTTTGGTAAAAAGTGATATTTTCGACTTCTTGTTGAAAATAGCAAGTCTGATTGTTTTGATACTATACATATAAGGACCACAGGTAGACCTCTCTCAGATTTGTTCATATTCTAATGATATCTTCAGTTCTTTAATTGAAATGTGCATTGCTAACAACGGAGCTATCTCAGCCGAGAAGCTGCTTGTTTAGACATAGCACAAGGAAAAATATTTTAATATTTCTTCAGCAATATCACACATTATTTCTGCTATTAGCTATGCATGTTTATTATTGTTGTAGGATACACTAATATTTGATATTGAGTGCTATACATAGGTGGATCCCAAGCCTGAAATAATGACATTTACAATTCAGGAGAATTGTTTTTAGTACTGTACGTTTGCTGAAATTCTTACCATTATTTGGTGCTTGTAAATCTGACTACCGCATGGGTATATATAATTATATTTTATTTCAGGATGAGTGTGAAAATAACCCATAATAATATAAACATATATATTAGAACAAACAAAACAAAAATAGAACATTGATAATATAACAAGTATCTATACGATAAACGTATCTTTGTAACGGTATGTACGTCAGAGCATAACATTGTTTTAATCAATGCATTCTAATTGGTGAGCAGATGGTTAGAATACAATAAGTTTCACCACAGAGTACCGTTACCAAAAGTAAGAATAGTTCGTAAAACGAACATATCACTACAATGTTTAATGATAAGCTAGTCTGAAGTAATTTAATGATTTACAATTGTGCTATGACTATAACTGGGAGCAATACAAATTTGTGCAAAAAGAGCTAAATAATGATACTTTCACATGACTAGTGCAATTACTAAATTTTCTGATTAAAGAGTTTGCCCTGGCATGAAGACTTTTCGTTTGACTTTTAATATTTAGGTTATCGTCGTAAAAAGAATCAGATCAAACATAACCCAATTGTGTGTTACTATAGAGACCATCAAGATACACAATTGTCTTCTTGAAGGCAGAATGTTCATTTTTTCTTTTGGTAATAAATAATATCATTGAATGTATTTCTTTAATAGAACTTTATCATCAGCATACATGCAATGGTTCATGTTAAGTCTGCCAAGGTTACTAAGCTGTAAGTACTAAGTACTAAGCTGGACTATATATACATTAAAAAGTAAAGGTGCCTGACACCATTATTCATGGTAAAAGGTGTAGAAATTGCAGAATCCCATTTACGATACCAGATCGTTAAAATATACAATATAAACCTGGTAGATGAGCTTAAAACATGATCAGTGATTGACTTTGTCAAATACCTAATAGATGCATCCAAAAAGCACACATTTCTGTCCATACTATCTTTGTGATTACATTGATCTCTGGTTAGTTAGTCACTGGGCAGCCTTTGCTGTGTTTTTGTAAGGAACTTTGTATTATTGTTTTTGTTAATTGTTTCAAATTAAAAAAGTTATATAGAATTATTGATTATTCAAGCATCGAAAAAGGGCACCCTGTAGTGTTTTGTTTGATGTCCAAAGTTCTAGTGTTGAATCAGGTTCATTACAGTTTTTATGTGTGCCAGTATTTAATATTGTCTAAAATTGGATTTAGATGGCTACATGTTGTTTGTTATACTTTGTTTTTTGTGTGTGTTTTTTTCTAGATGTGTATGATGTGATCTCTGCTGACAGTAACCAACACTTTTACAGGTGAGTTCACCTCTTAATATTGAGACAAACATTGAACAGATATATAGATGTATATATATCTAAATATACAATGATATACCCTTGAGCAATTGAAAAAATCTTTCTCTAAGAAACTAAATCAATTTATCTTCTAGGAATTTCTCTCATCGTGGACGGCAAGGTGAATCCCATTTCCTGTATCAAGTCAAGTCATCTTTTGGAATATATTCTTTCATCTATATTAATGCTGTAAGATTACCTGCATCAAAAATACCATTTAATTTCTTTGGTTATCTCAATAAAGTAAGTTTAACAAGGTGATGGTCAAATTTGCAAAAAATGTATTCATAAAGATTGATTTTCTCACAATCCAATGCATTCTCTCAATGGCAAGCACGGATGTGAGTTTTGATATTGACGCTATCTGCACTACATAGCAACTTTGATTTGTGGAATTTACAATGATATTTTCCATTCATTCTAGGAATTACCTAGTTAAACTTTGATCAGCATGTCTTTGTTGGTACTCATTAATCTGTAAACGATCATTAAACGATCAAAGTCATCATTTTTTTTGTTGTATTTTTTCTATATCTATTTGAAACATGGAATAGTGTGATTCATTAAACCTTCTGAATGCAAAATTTATTGTTTCCATAGAAATTTAGTGCAACAGATTTTCACTTTTCTAATTAAATTTCTGCCTTTTTCAGTTTATTTTGGAGCAAATAGACATAATTTCCCAATGGCTACAGGTCTTGATGAAACTAGTGAAAAAATGTTGTTTGTATACCACTGCAGTCATTGTCTATTATTATAAAAATATTGAATACTTAAAAACACATTATTTTATTCAAAAAAGTGTATTCAAAAGTATGTGATGATTAGAAATTTACAAATATCATTCTTACATATATTCTTGCAACACATATTTCTAGATCAACTTCTTCAGATTTTATATTCACAATAAAAAATGCAGTTTTTGCATCTGGTCATTATTAATAATTTTTTTTCATTCCATGATTG